ACGTTCGCTCGCACGTACGCTCACTCGTACATACATACGTTCGCACGTACGTTCACTCGCACGCATGTCGTTCACACACACGTTCATACCCCCGTTCATGTCACTCGTCACTACACGTACGTTAGATAACAAGAATATTTTTACGAGACTTTAAAAAAAGCTAATATATATATACAAATGTATATATATATATATATTTATGATCCCCGTTGACATTTCCCATTTAGAATGGTAGGCCTTGGGCCCCCTATAAATCTGTTTTTATGTTTTTTTGGTGCCGTCGGGGCACTCCATTCTGTAGAAAGAGACCTGTTTGTACACACCCAACATCACTTTATATGAGAACAAGATCATATGCCAGTGTCAGGCACCTCCATTTTGTAGAAGATTTGGAATACCATTTTGTAGATGGGTACGGGGAGTTGATAAATACATCCACAAATGTAAATATATTTGAACACAAAAAAATATCAACCGCTTTTGTTTGGCTCAGCAGTGCCGGCCGCTTCCCCCAAGCCCTCGAACTAGCTGATTGTCAGTGGCCATGCTGCGCTTTCACATGGCGTTCCTGCTGATCATGGGATTGGTTGGGGAAGGCGTCAAGGTGGCTGACGACACAGCCACACAGACGCCAGAGGAATGGCATCTTGTCTTCGAACGTGACTGATTGGGACAGTTGCCAGGAATAGGACAACTCCAAGAAAGACACTTCAAGAATTGGGCGCAGTTTTCAACAAAACAAGGAATTTTTTTTGTTTTTACCAATTCCATTTGGAGCTACAAAATGGTAGGCCATTTCCATTGGCAGCTACAAAATGGTGGGATACAGAAATAGTTAGACCATGTAGTCTATGAATGGGGACCAGCCATTTTGTAGACTGGTATGGGCTAGCTGGCCAGAGTTTGCAATGGGTTACCCAATGTTCTTTTACTAAGGTGGTTCAAACCAGAACAACACAAAGAGACGCTTCTGGATTGGATGTCCTGGTTGTCTTGCCGGGTGCAGAAGCGGTACCACGTGCTAGACCTTAACTATTTCTGTATCCCACCATTTTGTAGCTGCCAATGGAAATGGCCTACCATTTTGTAGCTCCAAATGGAATTGGTAAAAACAAAAAAGTTTCCTTGTTTTTTTGAAAACTGCGCCCAATTCTTGAAGTGTCTTTCTTGGAGTTGTCCTATTCCTGGCAACTGTCCCAATCAGTCACGTTCGAAGACAAGATGCCATTCCTCTGGCGTCTGTGTGGCTGTGTCGTCAGCCACCTTGACGCCTTCCCCAACCAATCCCACGATCAGCAGGAACGCCATGTGAAAGCGCAGCATTGCCACTGACAATCAGCTAGTTCGAGGGCTTGGGGGCAGCGGCCGGCACTGCTGAGCCAACCAAAAGCGGTTAGACCAGGGTGCGACCACAGGGTTGCTTTGTGTCTTACAAAATGGTTCTCCCATTTTTCACAGTTTTTTGGACACTATGTTAACCCAAAATACTTGATGTTGGTGGGCAAGTGGGGTACCCTGGTGCCACCATTTTGTAGGCAGCAACCCCCATGGGCGCTACCATTTTGTAGGTGTCCCCATACCATTTTGTAGGGAGGTAGGCTGGGCACCCTACACTTTGGTAGGCCCACCCTCTCGGGGCGAATTTCAAGGGGGATGAAAGCTAGATGTTTTTTTTAAATGACTTTCAAGGGCCCTCCAGAACCATCCAGAACAAACAATCTGTCTACAAAATGGAAGGGCGCCATCACATCCACAAGCATGATCCCCGTTGACATTTCCCATTTAAAATGGTAGGCCTTGGGCCCCCTATAAATCAGATTTTATGTTTTTTTTTTGTGCCGTCGGGGCACTCCATTTTGTAGAAAGAGACCTGCTTATACACACCCAACATCACTTTATATGAGAACAAGATCATATGCCAGTGTCAGGCACCTCCATTTTGTAGAAGATTTGGAATACCATTTTGTAGATGGGTACGGGGAGTTGATAAATACATCCACAAATGTAAATATATTTGAACACAAAAAAATATCAACCGCTTTTGGTTAACAGAGAACCAGTGCTGAATGAAGCAGGACACCTATGGAAGCCTAAGTATGTCTCCCACCTGCCCATCAACTTCAAGTATTTTGGGTTAACATAATGTCCAAAAAATGTGAAAAATGGGAAAGCTAGATGTTTTTTTTATGACTTTCAATGGCCCTCCAGAACCATCCAGAACCATCCAGAACAAACAACCTGTCTACAAAATGGAAGGGCGCCATCACATCCACAAGCATGTTCATGATACTCTGGCACTACCATTTTGTAGCTGGTTCATGCTGGTTCAAGACATATTTTGTAAGAATCTCGAGTGCCAAGCTACATGGGTTTGTTGGAGGGGATTGTGGTGGCTGCCTTTGCAATAGGCTTGGCGATGGGGATCCTACTTAGAAAGTGTGTCTGCCGACCATGTGGATTTTGTGGTGGAGATGATCGCAAAGTTTTCAAAGCCTCCAAAATTTTGAAACCAGCCCCGGTCCAGAAAAAAAACGCGATGACCACTACTTCGGTCCAGTCTATCTGACTACTTCTGTTGGACGATACTTTATGAAACCCGATTGCCAGATGCACAAAATGCAAAAATGTGAGATATGCAAGGATTGCTTGAGAGATTTTAAGAAGAAATTTCATTCAAGGTAAACTGTCTACAAATTGGTCGCCCAAAAAAGACTAGGGTGCGACCACAGGGTTGCTTTGTGTCTTACAAAATGGTTCTCCCATTTTTCACAGTTTTTTGGACCCTATGTTAACCCAAAATACTTGATGTTGGTGGGCAGGTGGGGTACCCTGGTGCCACCATTTTGTAGGCAGCAACCCCCATGGGCGCTACCATTTTGTAGGTGTCCCCATACCATTTTGTAGGGGGATAGGCTGGGCACCCTACAGAATGGAGCTCTCATCGTCTCGGGGCGAATTTCAAGGGGGATTATTTATGTATATATAAATATGTGTGTGTGTAAATTTACGTATTTATGTATTTATATATATATATATATAAGTGTGTGTGTGTGTGTGGGGGGGGCTGTCTCAAAATGAGGTGTCCTTGTTTCCTCTCAAAGAACCCCGTTTTGGAACCAAAAAAGGACACCTCGTTTTGAGCCATATCCATGTATATACAATATATCTTTTTTTTGACATGTGTTTTTTTTGTTACTATCCTGTGTTAGTTTGTTCCATCCAAAATTTATGTTTTCAGGTTTTCTTTTGTATGTAGTTTTTCAGCATCATTTTATCGGAAACAATGTATCAAATCAAAAAGTGTTTCATTGGAGATTACAATATAGATAGATATATTTATATATAAAGAAAACGCAGTTTCTCCAAAAAAAGGTACCAAAACATGTTGTTCATATAAATAACCTATAAGAAAAAATGTTAATCATAGTGACAACCTAAAGAAAACAATGTTTTTTGATCATTCTGACTATTAGGTAAAACAGTTGTTTTACCTAATAGGTAAAAACAAAAATTAACTAATAGTCAGAAAACAAGATATAACATTATATAACCTAATAGATAGAATTTAGCCTAACCAGAGCTTTTGGGCTTCGAGGAGGCGGCCTGACTTACATCCGGGTGACGACAAATGCATCACCGGAGGCGCTCGGCGGTCTTTTGCGGAGCGAGCCTGCAGGAACTGGCCATCGCCGCCATCGCCAATGCAGGCACCTAGCCTGTGGGGCGTCAAAGGTGAGGCGGCCGGAGGAACGGTCTTTATGGGAGGCTGTGATCTGACCTGTGCCCGCGCGAAAATTGGAAGGGGTTAGGAAGGGTCGTCGATGATTGTCGAGAAAAATCCAAACAATTTTCTTTTAAGAAATGTTTGGATGTTAGGGTTTAATGGCCCATGTATGCCCCGCGTCCGTGAGGTTTGGCCCCGGATGTCCGCACCAATAGAGTGGGATTTGTTCTTGTGGCTACTGGGTCCCGGGGTTAAGTCGTAGCATTGCTGTTTTGTCGTAGCGGATCAGCGCGTGCCTTGCAGAACTGCATGTTCCAAAGCTTGATTTTATGATAATATATTATGTTGAACAGATTCTGATATTTGGGTCTTGGGTGAGCGTGTGCCCTGCGGTGCTTTTATGTGCTTTTCTTCCGCAATGTTTGGTAATGCATTTTGGAAAGTTAGAATTGGTGCTACATTGCTGCTGGACTGCTGCTGGGCTGCTGGGGTACTGCTGAGCGAGTGCTACTAAGCTGTTCTCAGAAACCGTTTGTTACTGGATTGCTGCTGGCTGGACTGCTCCAAACTGCTGACAGATTGCTGGTCGATTTTCATTACGCTGCTGCTGGCATGCTGCTCGATAGACTGTTGCTGGGCTGGTGCTAAGCTGCTGCTGAAGTGCCGCTGGTAAACTGCTGCAACTACTGCTCAAAGAGCGTTGCCAAACTGCTAGCAGGCTTTTCCTGAGGCCTAGGCTGCTGAAGCTCTTTGACCAATGGGTAGATTTCTACAAAGAGAACCCGGGCTCTTTGCCAAAGAAGGTCCAAAGCCTGCCAAGCCGAGTGGTGCACCTTAACATCGCTCGGTCAGCTATGTCCCCTCCACTGGCTTGGAAGTCGGCCTGTGGGTGGAACTACTACGGTGGTGGCTTTCACGCTTCAAATCTCTTGCAAGAAAAACGAAGCATGAATTTTTGTGAGTGGCACGTTGTGTTTTGGTGGTGGATGGCTAGCCATTGGGCATCATTGGGCCATTTTAGCTCAAACCATCCCCGCCGGTTTGATTTTCCCGCCCACCCTCACCAGAAATTGGTGGAGGTTTGGCCAAAGGGTCAGAAGAGACCTTGCAACGCGAGGCAATTTGAGGGTCACCAGGGCAAGGCACGGATGACCCAACCTCAGCAGCTCCTTTGGGAAAAAATTGTCTGCGGGTTGGGTGGTGGCTTTCAAATTTGGGGTGTCGGCATTTTAAGCAAATTATACACGCAAAAGAACGAAACCATAAATGACCTGAGGCGGTGGACCAACTCAATGCCGATGCTTCAAGTCGCCAGCAGCAGCTGAAAAAACTGGAGCGAGGAAAGCCTGGGGCCTGCGACCCGCTTCCATAAGTTACCTCTTCGAACTGACAAAGTAAGGCCCCGAAGGTCTCGAACAAATTCTGAATGGAATGGACGCAGTGACATGCTGTAGCCAACCTTCCAGTTGGGGCCAGGAGAATACTGGTCAAAAGTGCCACTTGTTGTCCTCTACGTGTTCATTGCAGCCTGCTCCTTGCGCGTTGCAATTAAGGTTGAACGCGGGAAGTTCCAGTTTTTCTCCAAGAAAAGTAAATGTGGCTGCGATTCGTTTCTGCTTTTAAATTGTTTGTGTCCAACCGAGAGAATGATTCCGAAATGATTCCCATAAATTTTGGAATTTTGGAATGCGGATCAAGATGCCGCTGAGCTGCCACTGTGACGGGTATCACATGTGAGCCTGGTCAGGTGGTGAGCTTGGACACCGCGGACTTTCGGAGCACATTTTGGGTTATCATCGAGGCTTTTGGCCGCACGCGGCCGCACCGGGCCGCACCCTGTTCCCGAATTCTCTTGAACAGTGGTGTTCTCAGAGTTATGAACTTAGATCCATTTAGATCCTCTTGAAATCTCTACAATATCCTGGAGATTCCTGGTGTATCTGCTAGGACTTGGCCACACGATGCAACACGGCTGTAGGAAGTCCAACAGGACGAGATAGACTCCTGAGAATCTCCTTGCCCGGTCCTTGCCCATTTTTTTTGTGCTCGCAGATCCTGGGACTTCCAATCATGCAGCTGGAGTACGTCCTGGTTCAAAGTGGCCAAGTCAAAGGGGTGGGAAGGAGGCGATCTGAGCTAAGAACATCTGAGGGTAAGATCTCCAGCAGCTTATGTGTCAACAGTGATGCCAGCAGCCACAGGAACGTGATCAGCTCCCCAACGTCCCTTCAAACAATAGCCAGCATTCTCGCCTATTCATTTCTTTCAACTCCTTCAGCCTCAGGTTTGGTTTATGACAAGAGCTCGGGAGAAGGCATTCTACTACCAGGAATACATGAGCACATGCTCTACTGGCAAGATGCGGAAAACAAAGGCAGAGAGGGTAGAGGGAAGGGAGAGCGAATTGCTAAATATAATTGTGATTGATTCTTATGTTCAAGTATGTCAAGTATGTCCCTTGTGATTCGGGACACGTACCCTCATAAACCATGAGGTGTATGTACCTTGTTTTGGCTCAAGTAAAATAGGAGTGTTGCAATTTTCTGATCATGGTAGCGGAGCGCTCGGTTAAGCTCCAGTAGATGCAAAACCTTTGGATCCCCATCGAAACCCTTGGTGACAGAGTGGTAAGGTTGTGGTACCGGTTGGTTAACAGGTTGTTCAGGATCCGCAGGTTGCAGAGGTACTTCGGCCACTTGGGGCAGCACCTACAGGACTTGGTGCAGACTTCGGAGTTCAGGCGACGGCTGCTGAACTCTCGGTTGACTCGACCGGGAGTTGCATACGCTGAGCCGAAATTGCCTGAGGAGCCGTGATGGCGACCATGGAGGAGATCGTGGCGCAGATCCAGACGTTGCGGCAGGAGCTGCAGGAGAGCCGAAGGAGAGAAGAGGACCTGAATACCAGACTCCAGGCAGTGCAAGCTTCAGGAGCGGTTCAGGCAACTTTGGAGGAGATGGTGAACACGCAGAAGGCCATCTTGGAAGCACCTAAGAAGCCTGACAGGAAATTGACTTTGGTAGACAACCGCGGGTTGGCAAAACCAAACAACTATGATGGAAGTGCGGATTTCTTGCAAAGGAAGATCCGACTTGAAGCGTTTGTGGAGTCAGTCCATGATGACTTTGGGAAAGCTATGGCTTGGGCGGAAGATGAGACCGACCCAATCAGCACCTCTTCAATGACAGCCGAGTTTGGAGACGTCAATCCTGCTCAGGAGGCAATCCCAGACTTGGAAGCCAAGGATGCGCAGCTTTACGCGGTCCTTCAGACGCTCTGCGAGAAGGAAGCGTTCACGCTGGTTAGAAGCTCAGGGAAAGGAAAGGGCTTAGAGGCTTGGAGGAGACTTTGCAAGAGGTATGACCCGTCGACAGGGGGACGCCGACGAGCGTTGCTCCGTAGCGTGCTCAGTCCTAACCGTTGTGGCAAGGTGGAAGAGTTGAGCGCAGCGGTCGAAATCTGGGAAGACCAGGTTAGACAATACGAGAATCGACGCAAAACTGATGGCACCAGGCCAACGTTGGATGAAGACATAAAGATATCGATCTTAGAGTCGATTTGTCCGGTCGAGGTTGAAAGGCATCTTCAACTTAATCAGGCACGATTTGCCGATTACCAGGAGGTACGCAAAGAATTGTCGACCTACTTGGAAACGAGGATCGGGCTGAAGCTCAAGGCAGGTTCGTACGTTGACACCGGAGGAGTCCAGCCAATGGACATTGGAGCCTTCGGTAACGACAAAGCCAAGAAGGTTTGTCACAACTGCGGAAAGCCAGGTCACTTCAAGTCCGACTGCTGGGCACCAGGTGGAGGAAAAGCTTCTTCGCAGGGAAAGTCTGGTAAGCAAGGAAAAGGGCAGAAAGGCGGTCAGCAGTCCAACTCAGGTGGAAAGAAAGGATCTCCGAAAGGATCGAAAGGAGGAAGCAAAGGAGGTGGAAAGACCACCAAAGGCAAAGACAAAGGCAAGGGAAAGAACAACAAAGGTAAAGGAAAAGCTATGGGCAATGTTGAGGCTGAGAAGGAACCAGAAGCTGAGGAGCAGGCCGGGTCTTGGGATGCCAGTTTATGGGAAGGTCATGATGAATCCGGTTGGAACAACTGGACTGAAGGCGGTCAGGGCTCAAGCCTGGAGGGTAATTACCTTTCTCTAGGCGCGTTGCACCGTCCCGCCATGGTGACCAAGCGGCATAGCGATTCCGAGAGCCGCTCGGGACTTGCTGACAGCTTGGTTGCAGCACTAAGGAACCTCCCGCGTGGCACAGATGCCGGGTTGCGAGACTCTGGAACTGGTTCTTCCGGAGATCGCTCGGTCGATATGATGATGAGGTTGATCGACGAGAACTACAGGCTGCGTGACCAACTGAGGGCCCAAGGTGACCGAGAGCAGAGAAGCTCAGAACGTGACAGGAGCCGTCGAAGACGTTCCTCACCCCGAAGGGAACCAGAGCCCGAAGAAAGATCCCGTGATAGGTCAAGGCGCAAGCGGCATGACTCAAGGCCGAAGCGCGATCGTGATGATGACCGACATGGGAGACGCAGGGCCAGAAGTGAAAGCAGCGGCAGGAACAGGGAGTTGGTTGACAGAACGGCCACTCCGAAGAATGCCGCAAGGCGCAAGAGCGAGACTCCAGCGGCCAGTGACAGAACAGTCAGCCGAACCCCAAGGGGTAGCGTTGGCGACTACTTGAAGAGTAAGGCCGACGCCAGAAGGGCTGGTGAAGCAAGATCTTCGACTGCCTCGGTTGGAGACTTGCCGCCCGGCATGAGGATGCCCAGGAGTCCTCCCGGGCCACCTCCGCACAAGCGGAAGAAGCTCGAGATCAAGCCAGAGAAGAAGAACGAGGTCGAGCCGGAGGAGCGCACCGACGCCAAGAACACGAAGCCTAAAAGTGAAGGGGCGCCAGCTATCAAGGCGAAGCCAAAGCCCAAGACGAACTCAGGGCTCACCAGCGGTTCACTCTCGGTGCTTCGTGGCACACTTGCCACGCAGCTGATGCTGGATGCCGAGAAGACCAATGACCCCGAGTTGAAGAGGGAACTTGAGCGCCAGAAGAACGAGCTGCAGCAGCGTGCACCGAGAAGGTCAGTGGCAATCACGGCGGACAACCTCAATGACCAGTCATTCCATGATTCCAGGTACTATGCGGATGTCGCGTCTGGCAAGGCGCACCACATCGCTTGGAAGAACGAGAAAGGCCGCCGTAGAGCCATCTTAGACCGTAAAGATGGTGTCATTGACCGCGCCAGGGAGCGCATGCGCCTGGATGCGGAATGGCATGAAGAGCACGCTCAGCTGAACTCAGGTTCCAAGAAGCAAGATGTGGAAGGTCTTAAGGCCGATGTGGAGACCGAGATCATCGACGAGAGGGAGCGCGACAAGGATAAGCCCCTGGAACCTCAGAAGGAAGCTGTGGCTTTGAGCCGCCGGGAGAAGGAATCCTTCCGGCAGTTTCCCGAGGACGAGCAAGAGACCTTGGAGAAGCCCACAAAGAAGAAGGAACAAGGGCCGAGAATCAGAGGGCCCGACTACTACCGTCGGAAAAATGCCGCCCGACGTGAAAGACAGAAGGCCGAGAAGGCCGAGCAACGAGCAAAGGAGAAGGAAGGTCGAGACCGTGACCGACGACACGGATGGGATCCGGAAGAAGATGAAGACGATGGTGGTGGTGACACTGAGAGTAACAGCAACTACCTCAGTTCGCTCTTGGCTCCTCTGGGTGGATCGCCTGGAGAGCCACACGTGGTGGAAGAGCGTGATGGATGGAGGAAGATTGAAGTGAATCTGGACACGGGAGCCGCCGCGACGGCGATCCCGACAGACTTGAACCTGGATGGACATGCCAGGACCCCACCACAGGACGTCAACTACAAGACGGCGTCAGCAGAGTGCCTTGCTGACGAAGGTGGTGTAGTGCTCAAGGGCACAGATGTCTACGGAAGTGCCAAGGTGTTGGAAGGGCGTGTGACAGGAGTCCACCGCACTTTGGCGTCAGGCGCAAAGGTTGCGCGACATCACTATATGGCGCTGGGAGCACATGGAGGTCAACTCATTCCCAGGAACTCCCAGGCTGGAAAGGAATATGCAGCCTTCATGGAGAAGCTGCACAAGAAGCACAATTGCATGACACCTGTCAAGGTCCGCAATGGGATCTATTTGATGGACTTTTGGATCGCACCGGGCACCTCGGAAGGCTCTTTTCACGGGCCTCCCGAACGGGTGTAAGTCCGGAGCTGCAGCCACTGGACGATGAAGGTGCTCCAGCCGCATCGGCAGGAGACCTTGGTGGCGATGAGGCCGCAGAAGACGGCCACCAGTCTTCAGAAGAGATTGGAGAAGAGCAGAGGCAGGTGATCGTGAAGCGGTCCCCCGCAGATCCTACCGACCGAGAAATACAGGAGCACCGTGCTGCTGGGCACGTTGTTCACCGAAGCTGGTGTCTTCACTGCCAGAGGGCTCGGGTAACGGGCCAACGCCACAGAAGCGGTGACCCAGCTCGGGATGAGGATGGTAGGATGCCGTATGTTTCACTAGATTACTTTTACTTGAATTCAGGGCAGGAAAAGAGTGACGCTGATGGCATTTTGCCTTGCTTGGTTGTGAAGTGTCACAAAACTGGGCGCTATTGGGCAAATGTAGTTCCATCAAAGGGTGCAGAATTGTTCGCAGTTGAATGGTTGAAGTCTTGCCTCAATGAAACAGGTTTCAAAGAACTATGCCTGAAGAGCGACAACGAGCCGGCGATCATGGCTTTGAAGAATAAAGTGAAGGAGGAAAGCAGGTTAAAGATTCATCTTGCTGAGACGCCGGTGGAGGATCACCAGGCGAACGGCTTCATTGAGGTCGCAGTAAGAGAAGTGAAGAGACAGATCAGGGCGATGCTGTCTGACCTTCAGGAAAGGCTTGGGTTCGAGGTGGAACCGAGTCACCCATGTATGATGTGGCTGCCACGCCATGCAGCCTACCTCCTCACCAGGTTCCGGATTGGACCGGATGGAAAGACACCGTATGAACGGACCTTCGGAAGAAGCTGGAGGATACCGTTGGTAAGTTTTGGGGAGCATATCTTGTTCAGGCCAAGACCCCCAAGAGACGGACGACGTCATGACCTCGCACCAAGAGTGTCCATGGGAATGTTCGTGGGCACAGGACTGCGCAATAACGACATCTTCGTCATGACGGCAAGAGGGAATTGTCAAAGGAAATACAATCACTCGAAGACCTCCTGAGGACCAGTTCAAGTACGAGAATTGGAGTGAACTCCGGGGTGTTCCTTGGAGACTCCAATCGCGTGAGGCTGGCGAGGTTCGAGTTGACTTGCCAGTGGTTGTCGGGCCGTTGAGCCGACCACCAGCTGAAGAAGTGATTCCACGGAATCTTTATGTGACGAAGAGCGACATCGAGAAGTACGGTCGGACCCCGTTGTGTCCGGGATGTGAGGCGCAGTTGCTTGAGACAGGGCGCAGGGCCCACAATGCCGAGTGCAGGTTCAGAATCGAAGGCGAGCTCATGAAGTCCGAAGAAGGGAAGAAAAGGATTGAAGCAGCAAAGGCAAGAATAGAATCAGGGCGTCGCCCCAAAGCTCCTAGAGTCGGAGGAGGGGCAGACGAATCAGAGGTTGTGGAAGCTGCCAACGTTCCTGCGTTGGTAGGCATTCCAGAGCCTGATGCCGAAATGGCCTCGGGAGAAGCTGTTGGAGAACCATTGGAACGAGTCGCACCCCGCGAGCTTGAGGAACGAGAAGAAGAGCCAAGAAGCCCAAAGAAGCATAAGTCCGGCACCAGTCGGACAAAGAGAAGCCCAGAAGCAGATGTTGAGGAGTTGCATCAACAGATGCAAGAGGAAGTTCAAGCAGAAGGAGCAGTTGAGTCGGGATCAATTCCGGCTGCCGGGAGCAATGACCCCCGGCCACACATGCCGCCAGTCGCACCTCCAGATGCTTCACCAGGAGGAGACGACATGGTAGACATCGGACATCTGTCCATGTGTCTTTGTTCAGTTTTGAGGGAAGCCCGGAAGAAAGGCAATGTGCAGAAGACTGTTTCAGAAATCTTCTCACCCCCAAGAGTTTCAGCGCAAGCTCAATTGGTCGGTTTGCGACCTGGATTCGCAATCGATCTTGAAACAAAGAGAGAGGATGAAGATCATTGGGATCTCAGCAAGGATTCACACATTGAAGACCTTTTTACGCTTTTGGACAAGGAGAAACCCAAACTTTTAGGTGGTTCACCGCCATGTGGACCATTCTCGCAACTTCAGAACCTTGTTGACGCCAGGAACCAAGTCCCCGCGTCAGTTAGGTCAAAGAGACTTCAAGAAGGTAAGAAGCACCTGAGAACCTCAGTGCGTGCTTACCGCGCACAGATGGACGCAGGTCGTTACTTTCTTCACGAGCACCCAAAGGGCGCACGAAGTTGGGAAGAGCCAGAAGTTGAAGAACTACGCAAAGATCCCCGCGTATACGAAGTCACAGGACCTATGTGTCGTTGGAAGATGGAGTCCTCCGATGCATGGGGCAAAGGCCTAGTCAAGAAGGAAACCAGGTGGTTGACCAATTCGCGACACATCGCGGCAATACTATCTGGTGTTTGTTCGAATGTTGAAGGAAAGACTTGGCATAGACATGTGAACCTTATCAACGGCAGGGCGAGATCAGCACAGGTATATCCCCCACTGTTGGTTCGAGGAATACTGGAAGCTCTTAGAAATCAACTGGCTGAAGACGGTGAATTCAGTCAAGCTTTGAATTCCCTCGGTGCTGGGCCAGTACCAGATGCTGTTCCAGTCATCGACGAAGAACAAGAAGTTTACGACAGTTTACCTCCCGCCGATTTGCCAGTCGCAGGACCAGTCTATGATTCCAACACCGGAGCGGAGTTGGATCTAGCTAAGGTAGCAGCTGCGAGACGCGAAGAACTGGATTGGGTGCAGAAGCAATGCATCTATAAGAAGGTGCCTGCAGAACAGGCACGTGCTGCTGGGAAAGTCCCCATCACAATGAAATGGGTCGATCGCAACAAGGGCGACCTGGAAAGACCAAACTACAGGTCTCGGATCGTCTGTCGCGAGATCAAACGATCCAAGAATGCGGACTACATCCCAGAGCATGCAAGCTTTAGTGCAATGCCGCCACTTGAGGCTCTGAAGATGTTACTGTCACTCATGGTAACTCTCCGAACCTCAAAGCGTAATCGAAAACCTCTCAAGCTACGCCTACTGGATATCTCCAGGGCGCATTTCTACGGACATGCGCAACGAGAGATCTTTGTGACTCTTCCAGAAGGTGATCAAGAAGAAGGTATGGTGGGACTGCTGCTGAAAAGCATGTATGGGACGCGCGATGCCGCCCATATCTGGCAGCAATCCTATACAGATGTGCTGCTTGCAGCAGGGTTCAAAAGATCCGCTGCATGGCCAGCAATCTTCTTTCACGAACGCTTGGAAGCAAGGCTGCTAGTCCATGGAGATGACTTCGTCATTCTGGGCGATGACGCAGCGCAGGAGTTTGTGGAGAAAGCACTAAGAGAAAAGTACGATCTTCGTGTCGATGGAAGCATTGGCGTAGGAGAGGCAAAGCAGGAGTTTTGTGTCTTGAACCGTCTCGTACGTTTCGACGAGCGGTCAGGATCAATCTTCTACGAGCCAGATCCACGTCACGCCGAGATCTTGCTCAAGGATTTAGGCATGGAGACGTGCAAGCCAGTCAAGAGCCCAAACGAAAAGCTAACTGCAGAAGCGCTAGCCAAAAGGTTAGAACTGGATGTGGTTGATCCACACAGGATCAGTCAATATCGTTCGCTCACTATGCGAGCAGCGTTCTTAGCCCAAGACCGTCCTGATTTGTCAGAGACAGTCAAGTGCCTCGCACGAAAGATGCAAGGACCCACCGAAGCTGATTTCGGTGACCTGAAGCGTCTAGCTAGGTATTTGAAGGGCAATATGCGAATGGTGCAGAAGTTCACTCCGCAGAAGTTCAGCAATGTTGTGTCAGTTCATGCCGACTCGGACTTCGCAGGCTGTCTTCTCACTCGGAAGAGTACTACGGGTTTGGTCTGTTACTATGGGCGACACACTTTGCGCCACTCGAGTAACCTACAGTCCACAGTCAGTCTTTCATCAGGAGAAAGCGAATATTATGCCTTGGTCAAGGCAGTGGCTTCCGGAATGGCAACCCAGGAGCTACTTAGAAGCTGGGGCATTAACGTGAATCTCCAGGTGTACACTGACTCAGCTGCAGCACTTGGAACGTGCAATCGGCTTGGACTTGGGAAATCGAGACACATACAGACCAGATACCTCTGGATTCAGGAGAAGTTGGCCGAGCGATCGTTCGAGCTGATCAAGATCGACACCAAGCTGAATACCGCCGACATCTGTACCAAAGCATTGGCAAGCGAAGCTGCAGAACGACATCTGAAGGCAATGGGTTTCGAAGTAGTTCAAGGACGTTCATCAATAGCGAAGGCTGTTGTGTAGTGTCCCAAAGTGGACAATGGCCTAAATCACCCACTGTCCAGGAGGGGTGATTCGGGACACGTACCCTCATAAACCATGAGGTGTATGTACCTTGTTTTGGCTCAAGTAAAATAGGAGTGTTGCAATTTTCTGATCACCTTGGGACAATGATTGCGAACATCATTGCAGGGAGCTTTGTAACGACCTCCAATATGGGATGTCCTTATTAGCGTTTTTTTTAAATCTGAACACAGAGCTGTCCTTGTGCGGCTGAAAGTTTTGTGTCAGACTTGAATGAACAAATGATTCTCCACACCGAACAATTCGCGGTGTAGCAGAAGACCCTCAGCACACGCAGAACCTACATCAGTAATCCATTGTTGCAACTTCCTCCATCGGGATGCGTGTCGCTGTGGCACTGCTTCTGATGGTCATGGTGCCAGGCTTCGTGAAGTGTTCTCGTTGCAACGAGAAAGTGGGTGAACTCGCCGGTGGCTTCTTGATTTTGTTGCCTCCTGAGCCGAGTTCTCTTCGTTTCAGCGATTGGGCCATTGGCAATTAAGAAAACGAAGACATGAAGTGACATGAAGAACAAATGGCGAAGGAATTTGACTCATGTGACTACAGTCAAGGGTTAAAGTCGTAGCGATTCTTTGCTTTTGAGTCCATACCATTGGGCGAAGCTTTTCGGGGGGTCGTAGCGATTGTGGCTGTGCCTATGAGATTTGCAGTGATTTGTTGAATCATTTTAGAGGCTTTTGTGGGTCAAA